TCTTTCCCTGAAACTATGAATTAGACAATCTCCTGTATTGGATTTCTTTGTTACCTCCCTGAGTTACAAAAGTTCAAGTAAATTATGTTGATTCCACTCCTTTGAGGAAATAAGATACATTCAGCTATGGCTGAGGTTTGTAACTTCTATTCAGACAAAAAAGCATATTTGAAAATACAGGATGGGAAGAAGGTCATTGTGCCACCGACCCCTGAGTGTTGGTTATACCCTATATTCTGCCAGTATCCATATAGGCTTGAGTCTTTCCTCTCATTTGTTTCCACCTAGTGCACCATTCTAGTAAGTGGCACTGGGCCAGATTCTGATCCTCTTACACCAAAAAATTTATTGCTCCACAATTAGTCCTGATTCTTTCAATGTATCTATTTGCAGACTGAGATGAGCTGGTATATGTAACAGTGTATGAATCTGGCTCAATAGATTTACGTTTAAAAAAATTCAAAGAACAACTGGGTCCCCACGTTTCCAAGCAGTTCAGGACTTTCACTTCCCAGGCTAGCAAACACTAAGTTTGATATGTCTCCAGTTTGCAGGAGGTAGAAAAGAGCAGAGGTCAGCAGCTTTGCTTTCAGCTCTACTCTCACATTCCAGTTGGCACTACATTTTGTTTATGAAGTAACTAAGGCAAAGAAGCCAAGAGAGAGGAAAATAGAATTTAAATAGCAATGAAAAGAGTGCCCAGAATAAAGGGGTAATGAAAGACTAACATATCTCTTCCAAATAAAATTTAACCAATATTAACTAAATCCGCTAATCCCATGGGTAGTTTTCTGAATTTCAAGAAGGATTTTTTTGTAACAAAAAAGCTTTGGTCCAACTCAGCATTATCTGAGCATACACAGTGACAGTCAAAGAGAGCAAAGTAATCAGGAGATGCCCAAGTAAATCAGATGGTTATGAAGTGAAACAAAACAGTAGAAAGTTATATTTCATATAAGGGAATTATCATATTGATACAACACTGGAGAATGGATTTTGTGATTTGCTACCTATAACATTTTGAATTTTCAGAAGCAAAACAACTGCTTGAAATGCGGATAATGTTTTTTTCTTTCTTTAATGTTCAGCTAATAATGTGTTCATGGCAGAGAAACAAAACAGGCCTTTCCCTACCACCACCACAAAGCACTGCACTGAAAAATTTCCCAATGAAGTGCTATATATATGGAAACTTGTAGGGCTATGTGAAACTTCAATACCTGATTCGATTCGGCAGAGATTCGGCCCAATTCAGTGGCCAAATCTCCGAATCAAATCAGGAGACCCTTTAATCTCTCCCAATCGAATTCGAAACCTCTGAAGCGATTCGGAGAGATTCAGAAAGATTTGACAATTCGGACATAGACACAGCTTTAAATGTTTTCTACATACCTCAAGGTACCAGGCAGCTCGTGAATGCAGAGATGGTGGGATGGGTGGATCATCCCACAGGAGTGTGGGGGGCTCCCCAGCACACTCAGCAGCAGACCTGAAAGTGGACCAGAAGCACTTCCAGTCCATTTCTGGGTCCGCCAGGGAGCTCATTGTGGGGGTCCCCCATATGCCCCCCCAGCTTGGTGACTGGTGCCTCCTGGGTCTGGGGGGGTACCCTGGGCCCCCCCGCAGCTGATCACTGAGCCAAAGGGTGAATGGGGGGCCCCCAGCTCGGTCAGTGGTAGATCCAGTCCACTTTCGGGTTCACCGCCAGGCACGTTGGGGGGGGGGCCATGCTCCTGTGGGATGCTCCATCTGCCCCAGCATTGCAGTGTTCATGAACCACACCTGGTACCTCGAGGTATGTAGAAAAAACATTTAAAGCTGTGTCTATGGCCGAATTGCTGATTTTCTGAATTGGCATTGAATCTTCAGGTTCGGATTTGGCAGAATCGAATTGGAGACAGTGATCTGAATCAATGACTCAAATCACTGTCCACGATTCAGGCCAAATCTGAAGCCAAATCAAATACAGCCTGTTTCACACACCCCTAAAAACTTGTATTCTGACTCACTACTCAGGCATAGCTCTATTATACTGTCTACTTATTATACCGTCTACTTAGACCCAGATGAAGAGGCTGCAAGGGAGAGTACAAATGGCTGTTCAAAATATAGTGACTTTGAAAAATTAAAGGAAGAGAAAATCTCCAGGAAGATTTCAATACCATTTTTGGTAGGACATATCACTATTACTGCAAGATGTTCTTGTCAAAACAATGCTTATGATGCACTGCAGCTGACAGCTAACTAACTGATATTGCTCCCTGGAAGTTGCATTAGCCATATCGTGTCACTGCTTTCAGAGCAATTTATATAGTATTTTTCCTTAATGCTGCATTTATTTATTTATTTTTATTTGGGGGTGTGCTAGAGGGCAAGTTATCAACTATCTTAATGTAATTAACTGTCATCCATACAGCAAGTTTGCTGTATACACTGAAAAATCGGGATCCATTGGGATGTCAACAGCACCACAAATTTTCAGGTAAGATTTGAATAATTTGCACAATGTTCACACACATCTCGAAAATGTTGGATGCATGCTAACCCGCGGACTGAGCGGAATGTATACATATGTATATGCATTTAAAGTTTTCTTAAAAAAAATATAGCCTTCTGTCACTCCCAGTATTTTTTCGTATAACAGGGTGAGAAGCAAGGATTTCTATACTAGCTTATACAACCCCTCCCAGCTTGAGCAGTCCATATACTGGGTATGTTATATACAGGTATAGCAGTGTATGTAGAAAATTCTCAGTAGTTTCCTTAGCAGTGTCCAAAAGAGCAATGGTCATTCAGACCAGGTTCCAGATAACATATCTTGTAGCATACAACACTTCATTTTAAGTATATCAAGAGGATGTTTATGAAAAGCAGCATCTTTATGAATTCAAGATGACCTCACAGGGCCAGGAAGTTTTTAAAAACTCCAAACAGGATGATGGTGCTGCAAAATTATTTCATTCAAAATTCCAAACTTAGCTGGGGGAAGACACAGCTGGGTATAAAGTGTTATTTTCAATATGCAATTTGAGACAGTTTTTTTCAGACTCAGGTATCATGTTAGGCATATTACTAAATTGCTACAGAGAAGGAAAGTTGGACAAAAGTTTCTGATCTTTTGTTGTTTAAGTAAAGCAGGATGAATGGCTTCTATCTGTTTTAAACCATCCAGGATAAAGTGAAAAGCTTCAGTTTTGCCTTCTTTGGTCCAGAGTGAAAGTCATTTGCATCTAATAGCAACTTGTTGAAATGACTCCATGAAATGACTTAATGGTTTCAGCTTACTTCCTAGAAAATAAGAAACTCTGTCACAAAGAGCTGCATTGCAATCAATGTTCTTGTTTATCAGCTGAAATGGCAAAAAGGCAAGCCATCAGGACAGGACGTAAACATATAAACTCTAATTATATATTATGTATAAATAATATATATATATTATTATATAAATGCAAATATATTATAACTTCTAATTATATATTATTTGAGACAATATATTCATGTAACCTTTTTAGAAAAGTTTTATAAATAGGTCACAACAGGCCATGGACTATATTAGGGGTATAATCTTAGGGGGCTCCCAAAGGCTCCTGTATAGATTAGTAAAGATTAAAGAAAACCACTCTACCTAATGGGACTCAGTGCTCAGTCTAGAAGATCCCGTTAAGCATTTCTGTGATGCTTAGTTTCAGTTCTCAGGCTGTGGATTTGTATCTCCAGAGACAGCATCCTTGTTCACAGCAACATACAGAGATGAGAGAGAACATACCTGATTACCTACCTATCAGCCCTATTGTCTCCCTGCAAGTTTGTGTACACAGAGTCAAGCCCTTACCTCTTCCTAAAAGTGCAAAGTTTCAAGAAGTTAAATGAATAGAGATTTATTGGCGTTGGAGTAGATCTGGGCAAGCACGGGGAGTCTGGAGATAAATGCAAGGAGGGAGGGGCAATAGAAACAAAAGAGAAACATTTTGGGCAGAATATTCCAGAAGTTTTGAGGCATAAGTTTCTGGGTATAGC